TAAATTGAAGCCAAATAATAGGATAGCTTAGGAAGTCACCGAAGTTTTCCTTCGAATCCGTGACATCCTCTAGTGTTTCCTCCTTTGGACTCCAAAACAAAATATTCCAAAATTTGAACAAATCCCCTTTCACACTTTTTAGTCCGATATCTTTAAAATGTCCTTACTATTTGAACTCCTTGAAGATAATTTTTCTTAATTTTTATCAAGAGTATTTTTAAGTAACTTCAGTTATCTAAGATGTAATTAACTATAGGGGTTTGCCCTTATAGGAAGTTTTTCCCGAACTCAGCATAATATAAACCCTATTTAATTCCTTATATTAAATACGGGAATTTGTCGGCCAATATATTGGTTTCGCAGACCAAACGGATGTCATAACTTTCTCTAGTTTATTTGATCGAGTCTCACCCTCAATTCTTGTGTTCATCCTTCGAGATACATACAGGATTTGAGGTAAAATGCTCTTTCATCTAAACTATGAAAATTATGGGGTCAGTTTGACTTCATTTTTTTCAAAAATAAAAATTTTTAAAAAAACGTCATTCCGAAGCGGGCAACGGGATTTCAATTCCGATGACCGACAGTTTCTTACGGGCAAACCCCACACCAAAAATAGTGCCGACAGCTTATGATAGAGTTTGTTGGATAGACCTGCGGTCATGCATAAAATTTCTAATTATAATCTTTTGTGAGGTAGCTGCGCCATGGCAACCACAGACTCTCTTCTCTTAGGCTTCGCGGTTCACATTCTACCCCCTCTTGCTTCATCCTGCTCCAGACAGTTCGAAGAGATCGCAGACAGAAGGCACCTTCCTCTCTCAAAAGCGTCGATCTCCCTGTACAGTCACAATAAAAATGGTGATCTCCCAATTTCATGGTTTCAAGTAAACCTATTGCGAGTGTTTCTTAAGACAATTCATTGTTAAGAGCTAGGTGCACACAAACTATAGAAAGTTTGATCATTTACCTTTTATTATATTCCATTTATGACTTCTTTCTTAGTGAATTGAATCCTCACTCTCCTCTCTAATTCAAGTATCTAATTCAAGTAGATGTTGATTAATTAAATCAATAAAATCATGGTATTTTTGTAAACTTGCTCTTTCTTATGTTTCTATCTCGCTTATCATATTTCGCACTTGGACACTCCCAAATCAAATTAAAAATTTTTCCACAATTTAAGAATGCAATAGGATGGTGTTGATCCAACATTTCAGGGTCAAATCTAAGAAATAAAAATAAAGCTATGGCCTTTCCTCTGAATTGTTCGTTGACTTTTTTCACATGGGACTATTTATCACTCGTGTACTTATGTTGGTACAACTAATGTGTGCAATTAAATTGCGCAAAGCATGAAATCATGTAGACAATCTCGAAAAGTTTCAAATATCACAACAACAACAACAACAAGTCTTTATCCCACTAAGTGGGGTCGGCTAAATGAATTCTTTTTCTCCATTGTGTCCTATTGACTTTCATATTTTCATTTATTTCTAATTAAGTTAGATAATTTTTTATACATGCCCATATCTCTTTAGGTGCATCTATACCTTTTTTTGGCAAAAGTCAAATCTAAAACATCTACTCTCCTAACTGGGCAATCAGATGACCAACTTTTAATGTGACCAAACCATCTAAGATGACCCTCTCTAATCTTGCCAACCACTGGAGCTACACCAACCCTTTCATGGATATATTCATTTCAAATTTTGTCTCTAGGTGTAAAACCACTCATCCACCTAAGCATTCTCATCTCTGCAACACTTATGCTTCTCTTTTATAGGCCAAAATCCTGTGAAATAAAGCATTGCAAGTCACACCACCTATTTTTCTATCACACAATAGGCCCAATGCATTCCTCCACTTCAACCATGCAATTTGAACCTACTAATAACATCCCCATCTATATCACCATCACTTTGAACAATAGACTTGAGATATCTAAAATGTTCACTCCTTCTAATGACTTGATCACCCATTGTTGCAGCCCCGCCACTAAATCTACTACCTACTACTAAAACTATACTCCATGTATTCAGTTTTAGATCTATTCAATTGAAAGTTTTTAGACTCTAAAGTTGACATCCATAATTCAATTTTTTTTTATTTTCTTTAATCTTATCCACGAGAAGTATATCTTCAGCGAAAAGCATAATTGTCCAGTAAAAATATTCATAACTAAAGCAAATATATATATGGGCTTGAAATTAAACTCTGATGTAATCCAACTGAAATTGAATAATAATTGGTCAATCCTCTTTCTGTTAAAACACTGGTAACAACTCTAGTACGCAAAACTTTAATGACTTGAGTATAATTCATATCAATAAGTTTCTTTTATAGAACCCTCCAAAATATTTCTCTTACGCAGTTTCAATACCAATAAAATAAAATTTGAGAGAGAAATCCTGATCAAATTTCGATCCGGATGATTTTCAAACCATTATTTTTTCTTGGAGATGAGTAAAATACAAGTCGTTGATTAATTATCCATGTATTGTACTCATGCCTCATGCCAAAGCAAATCCAAAGGTTTTAAATTTCAATCCAAGCAAAATTTACGTCAATATATATTGAACCAATTTTCTCCAAAACCTATAAAGCATCTAACAATATCAATGCCTGCAATCTATTCATCGTTTAATACAAAACAAGCTTCCATCGCTTTCTCAGTCGACCATAACAAACCTATCCAAATCATTCTTCGGAGAAACACAATAAAAGATCATGAGGAGCATCACAGGCACGTTGAAAAAAAAAAAACTAAACCAAGGCGGCGATGAGTTTGATACCCTGTGCAGAACCGTAAAAAGGGTCGGCGACCGGCTCCTGCTGCTCCTCAACGGATGAGAAGCTCCTTGAAGACGCCATGAGGATCGGATCGAAAATTGAAGCCCTGCATTTGACAACATTCCTTGAAAGATGACTGAACTTCATCATTTCCGGGAAGCGGCGACTGCGTGCTGAGCTCGCCGTGTCTGATTGCGCGCCACTGCGAAGCTCGAGCCTCGAATTCCATCATCTGGTGAGAACGTTAGATATATATTTGTCGGCAATCTGAACGGAGCTCTTAGGTTTTTTTTTCAGGAAGATTTGCATACATGCCACTCAATTCTTTTATATTTACATATCTAACTTCTACAATTTAGATTTTTGCTTTCTTGCATCATATGGCCAAGACGCTCTCTCATCATTTCTATTTGGATCACCCTTACATCTTCTTGTCCACCTTTTGGTTGGGCCTGTTTTGATCTAGTTGGCTTGGCTTGTTCGGTCGAGTGGGTCTCACGATCTTCTTATAATGAATCTATCTCCTCTTCATATAGAAGATTACATCTGTTTAAGGTAATTGCATACATGTTTTTTATACACATATTTTAGTTCTTTGATTCACTTCTTAAAAATAGCGTGAAATAAGAAGAGAATTTAATACAAAAACAAATGTCATTTGATTTTAATTAAAGATTTAATGATTGACTCTTTTGATTTTCATGTCATTAATTCACTCACAATCTCTATTTCAATCGCCTATTTAGTCATTTTATATCTTGCATGATGCATAATTTTAAGAACTTATAGGATCATTTCATGATCCAATAAATGCATCTAAATTCTCACAAAAAAAATCCTTTTAATTACATAATACACTTATTGTTAGAAATTTTTATTTTCAAATGTTTGCCAGAGAATTTATGAATTATTAATTATATATTGCATGAATTTGAGGTTTTTTATTGGTAAAATATATCAGCAAACTAAAGTTTTTAAATACTTTTATTTCAAATGTGTGATGAATTGCATCAAATAAAACACACATTTGCTGACTCAATTTATTCATATTTATCAGCAATAATAATTTCTATATATATATACACATGAATGAGCTCAATTTAAAAATAAGCAGGGACTAAATTGATAATATACACACTTCAATATATAGAGGAAATTGCACGCATTAGCAACTTCAAAGATAAAAGCACACTTGCATTCAAGCATATAAATCACAAAGTGTCTGTAACTTCAAACATTTTGAAGCTTTTAACATTATGGCAGCAGCAACCCAAACACACACACCCAGGCTATAAAATGAAGGCCCTTTTAAGTAGTCAAGACCACTATATATCCAGAATTTAAACAGCATAAGAAAATTCAAATTTTTGTGTTAATGATATGTATATAATTGAAATATAATTACTTCCACTTCTTGAACTTGCCGCCGCCGAACATTCCGTGCTTTCCATGCTTCCCGTGTTTGAATTTACCGCCGTGATGTTTGAATTTGCCGCCGTGATGCTTGAATTTGCCGCCGTGATGGCCAAAGCCGCCATAGCCGTAGCCCCCATGGCCGCCTTGATGGCCATAGGGGTTGTAGGCCCCATGGCCGCCTTGATGAGACGAACCATGGGTTAGGTGGTGAAGCCCGTAGGCCGCGGCGGCGGCAGCACCACCGGCTAGCATTGATCCTCCATGAGATCCATGCCCTGGAAGAATGAAATATAGAATGATAAAGGATTTATGCCACTAAATTCTTTTGTATTTACATCTCTAATGGCTGAAGTTCAACTTTTACATGCATGCAGAATTCCCTATGCATAAATGTGTATTTTACTTTTATTTTAGTTAAAATAGTGATTTTTTTAATGTGATATGAAAGATTTTGGTGGTATAAATGTAATAATTAAAGTTTAAGATATGTAAGCACACAATTCCTCACTTAAATCTTTAATATCACATAAAAACTATCACTATTCCTACTTTTTAAAAGTAAAATCCACATTTTCATTCATAAGTTTAAAGCACCGAACTGCTAACTATGTAAATATAAAGTTTAGCTGTGAGATATGTATAAACAAGTTTTAAGAATCCTGACAATTTTAATCCTAAAATTTTAATTATCTCAATCTTCTATTATTAGGATTTTGAAAGACGTAACATTTTCGGCCCTAAAGTTTCAAAATTATATTTAGCGATATTCCCAAATAAAACAACAATAAGAAACACGGAATAGGAATGAAACAACGTCAGACATGCAAACATGCAATAAAAAGTAAAAGCACGCCAATATATATAAAAGGGTAAGTGTCGCAGTGCCAACGACGTATCACAAGAAAAATAGAAAAAGCGATGGGTCCTAGTTCTATACAATAATGTAGATTATTCAAAACAAACATTAATTTTTACATGCATACCATCTTAGCTATGATTGAAAAGGTGTATTGCATCACTTAAAAGTTAAAATGATGATTTTTTTGTTGTATGTTATAAGAAAAGATTTACATATTAAAAACCTACAGTGCATGTTCTTTAAGGATTTACCATGCATAAAAATGAATTCTATGTAAAGGTTTTTATGTAAATGCCACCAAAAAAAAGATTATTTATAGGCTGTGAAGCTTTAAGATACTTAGTTTCTTTCAAAGTTCAAGCCTCTAATCCTCATTTACTTGAATTTAGAATTTCTGGACACATTTATAAATCAAACATTTATTGAAGTTGCTCATGCAAATTATGGCAGAAACTATTTTAGAAGATTTACATAGATACAACACAATTCCAATGTACTTGCATATCTAACACCTAAACATCATTTCTTACGTACATATCACCTTACCTATGCATGAATGCTTTGGGTGGTATGCATATAAAAATTTGATTTTAGATGTTATACATATAAATACATAAGAATTGGGTGGTATGCATTGTATTAACTAACATAAATAAATAGTAAAGCCCGAAACACAGCATTGTAATGGGTGATGATGAAAGCATACCTTGGGGGTGAGAGGGATACCCAGCCGGAGGGTAACCTTGTGGGGGGTACCCTTGTGGAGGGTAGGCACCGGGTGCTGGGGGGTAGCCCTGCGGCGGATAGCCTTGCGGGGGGTAACCGGAGTGCTGGCCGGGATGTCCAACGAGTCCATGAGCAATATTTGAAAGAATTCCCTTGTCATGTTGGTCTGAACCATCATGGTGATGCTTGTCCTTCCCGCCTCCCATTGTTCTGTGACAGCACAAAAAAGGAATGAAAATGCCTTTACATAAATTATTAGGAAGATTTACAGACATACCACTCAATTCTTATATATTTACATATCTAACACCTAAATTTATAAATTTTACATTAATGCTACCTAACTTACGTATGAAAATGTGTATTCCACATTTACAAGTTAAATTGCTGGTATTATTGATTTGATATGAAACACTCAGGTGGTATAAATGTAAAAAAATAAAATTTCGATGTTAATAAGAAAATGCATAAAAATTGAGCGGAATGTAGGTAAATGCCCCCAGACTATTAAGCCAAAAAGAAAAATATATATATTTGAAACACTTTTTAAAGGAAAAAAAAAGGAGCATTAAAATGCATACCGCCCAATCCCTATTTATTTATACATCTAACACCTAAACTTCACTTTTTTTTACTTGTACACCACCATCCAAGTCTTTTATATCACATGAAAAATGCCAATATTTCATCTTTCTAAAAAGTGAAATGACAAAATTCTCAAATTTTCCCCATTTGTGGCTACTCTGACATGAATTAAACAAAAAATATATGTAGTTGGCTACAAAGGCTTGAAAACTAAAAGCTAAAACATTATGTATGAATTAGAAGTAAAATTCCATAATTGAAAACACCAGTGCAATAAACATTAGAGATTAATTTGAGAATTGATTTCATTAATAAAATCAAATGTTATGAGTGGACCATTCTCAAAGTTTGAATTGGAGACATTACAAATGGGGATATGCATTCATGATCCTATTAAACATCCACCAAAATAGATTAATTCGAGGGAAATTAGCATACATGACACAAAATTCTTATGTATCTGCATATCTCACATCTAAACTTTCATATTTACATATATACAGCATTTTGGTGTTTTTAACCCTATGCATGAAAAGGTGCATTTCACTTTTAAAAAGTGATGGTAATGGCTTTATTGGCATGATATTAAAAATTTGAGTGCCTTGAGTGTAAATATGAAGGTGTGGGTGTGAGAGACGTAAATACAAAAGATTGTATGCCATGAATGTAAATTTCCCTTGCAATTACCTTGGTTGCTGCTTTTCTGTTTAATATTTTCCTTTAGGAATGATCATGAGTTATTGAATGTTCGGTGCAATAATATATAAGTACATAGTTGTGTATTTACTTTATTTACTTAAGTACAATATAGATTTATTCAATCTCCAAAATGACTACAACTATCTTGATTGCTTCTATTACTTTATTGATTAATTTCCCTTGGAACTAACCACCAGTTTTGTAACATTGAAAATATATGCCAAGTCAGTAAGGTCTTACCCTAAAAAAGTAAATTCTTGGATCATATCATGATTTCAAAAATGTATTTAGGTCATTCAACTCACCTAATGATATCGATTAAAAAAAAAATGATGATATTCCATTAAAATTTTCTTTTAAATGCATGATTTTACTAACTTCTAAAAATACAAACACATTTTTCTTCTAAATGCATGATTTTACTAACTTCTAAAAATACAAACACAGTGTGATCTTTGAGAACCAATGTTGTGAAAATCAAACTGAATGTTCAACCGAAAGGCAAGGCTATAGTTCAACTGAAATTATTTTAACATGATTTAAATTATGCATTAATAATATTTTCAACAATTCAATGTATCATATTCTAATTCAAGATACATTCACTCCCGAATATTTTAAATAATTATAACTCCAGATAATATTTAATTATTTCTTATATTTTTAATCCAATATTTATTTTTAGCATTTCGATTAAAAATAAAAGTTAAGAAAATGATCACAATATTAAAACTAAATTTGTTTTGGTTCACTAGTTCACCAAATCAACCTCAATTCTAGCTGGTATTGTGTATAAGGGGTTTTAAATTTGGACCGAACTAACCAAAGGATCGGTTCATGGTTTAACTAATCAAAACGATTGATTCAATCTGAGTTTCTAAACCATTATGAGAACTATATTAATATCATCTCATTCTATAATCTATAGTTGTGACCTCTTTCAACATGAGTTGCTTCTATTTCAAACAAATCATATTAAACATGCATGGAAATTCATGTATGCAATGATATTTTTTGCCTAAATAACTTAGATTCATGCTAATATGTGAGAAAAAAATCATACAAAAATATACATGGATACTCATGCCAAAAAATTATTTGTTGCCTCGGTAAGTTAGATTCATTCCAATATGCATGAACGACTTTGATTCAGTATGATCCAAAAAAAAAAAAAACAGCAAAAAACAGCAAATAAAAACAAAAGTAAAAAGTAATTAGGAAAAAATCTATTTAGGGTTCAGGGTTTAGGGTTTATGGATTAGGTTTAGCCTATTCCCAGAGTCCTCCTAAAATAAGAACTGATTCCAAAAATATTTCTTAAAGCACGCCTCTTACCCTCTTTTAAGTAAATTATTCAACGGAAGAATGTTCAATGATCAATCATGATGTAATCTCATAAGAGCAATGTTGTGAGTGATTGTAAGATGACAACCTGTGGGGGCCATTAATACATAGCACTTGATTATTGTAAGAAGACAACCTGTGGGGGCCATCAATACATAGCACTTGATTATAAACTAGCAACACATGCGTACAAATGAGGATTTACAACCCTTGAGTGCATTCACCATTGAGTTTTCAACTGAAAACATTCAAGATTGTTATGTTAATATTTCCCCTCACCATGCATGTATTCAATTGGACTGACTAGAATGATTTAAATTTATTTAAATTTAAATGTTATTAAGATAATAAAGTTATGTATCGCATGCTATAATTGTTGAGACAATTAAAGCCGTAACTTTTTGAAAAAAAACAATCGTTAAATCTTGCTACATCATTGTAATCAGTTTGACTATTTATTTTCGATTCTAAGATTTATGATGAGAAAAATAAGTCTGATATGACTCCAAAAAATTAATATAATTAGACATGAATCTCAATGTAATTTGGGTAAGAGATCTTCCAAACTCATATTCAGGATAACCCAAGCTACAATTTAAACAAAGCTAGCGTTAAATTGAGCATCTCGACAATATAAACTTCATGAAATTGAAAGTGATTCAATCTGAGCCCAAATAAGCTCATATTAAACACTTGAAGTGTATTTGAAGGCTTTGGTATATTAATTAGAATGTTAAATGATCATAGAATTTAGCATTATTATAGTCAAATCGAGCATCTTTATGAAAGAAATCTAATGAGTCTAAGATCATTTACTTTCAAGATCATTTAAACATTTATATGAAAAAAAAATATCATCTAGTTAAGAAAACTAATGTGAATCGTTGGTTGAATAGACTTAAAAGGCTGATTAAATTTACCAAAATTATCCTTTTAAAAACTATAAATAGGCTCACTTTCTTTACTTGAAAATGATGAAAATAAAAGAGCTAATAACAAAAGCAAAATTCTTGAAGAAATGCAGGTGAACAACCAATAGTCATTTTCGATCACCACCAACAAAGGTTACAGCTAATTACTATAGTTGTTGCTACCAACTACAATTACGGCAGTCAACTAAATTTTTTTTAGTCATCACTTGCAAATCTAAACTATGACTATTGCAGTCAAACTATTACTTTAATTTTTTTTTAATCTCATGTTACCTAATTCAAAGAAGAAGAGTAGGCCCATGTAATTTCAATTTCCTTATGTATTAATTTATTTATGTCAATACTCATTGTCTCTTTTTTCAATATTTTTTTTATGTGGAAAATTTGGGGGTCGCTTATATTTTTATTTTGTGTATATGCTGGTAAATTATAATAATCTAAGACTTATAAATGGTGTAATAAATCCTAGAGTTGAACAACAATGGGGCTAAAATAAGATTTAAAGTAGTAGAATTTAGAATAACCCCCAAAAAAATTAGTTAGGATTTAAGCAAAATCTTACTTAGTTTCTTCCTAAAGTGGGGAATCAAACAAACCTTATGTCAAATAAAATTTAACTAATCCTGATGTAATCAAAGCTTGAAAAATATTTTTCATAACAATCTTTAAGTTTGGAACATCATGAAAAAATTCTTAGTTATTTGTTCAAGGATTTAGGATTTGTGAGAAATATATATTGTAGAATTTAATAAAATCTTGTATGCAACCAAGAGTGGGGTTGGGACAAAATTTTTTAAAAAGCTGTTTGGTTTGATTTAGGAAAAAAAAAACATGCATAAATCATGCCTAAAATATGATACCACATGGGCCCTTAATGCCAATTATATTTTATCCTAGGCTTATTTAGCAAAAAATAGGATTTATTTCAATTAGGATTTAGTAAATCCGGTAGATCCAAATTTAGTCAATTCTACAAAACATTCAGCATGATAATTGTTAAATATGATTAAATCCTAGCAGATTGTCTATACTTACAAGATTGAGGCCTTAGCTAATCATACTAATCAAACCAAAAAACGCTTCATCCATACCACTAGCAAGGCCACAAGTCTCCGTCTATAGCTTAGATTAAGGAAATAGAACCAATTCACGACCTTATCAGTGCTCCATAGAAGATCCACCAGAAGCAAAAGACACGATCACATCCATCAAAAAAATCAACAAAGAAAAACCCCTGAACATCAGATCTCGAATCAGATCTTCAAAAATCTCTCACAACCACCATCTGATCCCATTACCACCAACACCCACAAAAATTTCATCAGCCCTAGACTAAATTCAGCGAAAAATGCCCAAAACTAGCCATTCCATGAATCACAAAAACATTATCAAACAAAATTGCTTGCAGATTAATTCAAAGCAGATCTAAAATCGAAGAACAAACTAACCTTTCCGATGAGAAGATTGGTGTTAATCAGGAGAGAGAGAGAGAGCTGTGAAATGCGATAGAAGAAGACCGTCGAGTTATCGAAGAAGCCTTTTATAGAAGGATTGCCGGAAGCCCGATGGTGTTTTTTACATAGACCTGAATTAGAAAAACTCACCAATTAAAAATCTCCACGTAATCAAATGCGGTGAATCCCTAGGGTGTGGTTCCATTTTGAGTCAACTTTTGCCCTTGTTATATTAATCTTATCGGATTTGATACACGTAAACGACGCGGTCGGGGTATCGCTGGACCTTGATCGCTTCGTTTGCAAGCAAGGCTTGACACGTGTCGGAAGAGGGAATTGGGAGCGACGATATCATTGCCCCTATTGTTAAGATTTATATCGTGCTCAGCTCTTTCAAAATTATGTATATTAGTAATTAATTTGTATTTAAAATGGGCTCATGAACATTATATTACACGATTTAAATATTTTTATTCATGTTTAACTCTAAATTTGTTCGTCCAAATTTATTGAAAAAAATAGATGTAATGTGTTCAATTCGAATATTGAGTAAATCTATGCAAAAAAATACAGAACCACATTACCACACGAGTTGTGATGGTTTAAACTTAAATATAAATATATAAATATATTATTATATAAATAATATATATAATATATTATTATATAATTATTATTATTTTTTTCAAGCTAAAGGGAGTCAAATACGAGCAAATAAAAAGTTATTTGTGTTTGTATTCGGTTTGTTTATAATTCGAACTTAAAAATTTTGTTCATACACGAGTTGAACACAAGCTGTGCGCGAACAACGAGCTTTTTTGACGGCCCTTATCTCAACCCCAAAAATTTATTTCTCATGTGATTTTTATTATTTTCTCATTCATATCTAAATTTGCATATTTTAATCAAAATGATATATAAATATATATATATATAAGGCCATGTATATATAAAAGTAATTTATATCAGTTTTTTGACTAAAACGAACCAAAATTGAAGAAAATAGTTGAAGAAAACAAAGTGTCGATAAGTATTTAAATTTAAATTTTGATCTCATAATTTTTTTCTGAAATTATAAATATGACTATTAAATAAAAAAATAGAAGTAATATTAAATTATTATTGTATATTTAAATTTGAGGTGGAAAATTTATATCACATTATGAAATTTCCTAAATTGCCCTCAAAGAATTATAAGAATTTGAATAATACATTGTAGATTCAGATAATTTAATTGATCAAATTAGCATATCAATGCTTCTAAATGTTGTTTCTTCCCTTTAATAATCAATATGTTAGCGAAATAATATATTGTTTTTTATGTCTTAGAGATGATATTAAAAATAATATTTAATAGCAATAAAAATATTTATTTTTGCATAAAATTAAGAAAATGAATCTATAATTATGCAGCTATTAAAGGTTAACTTTTTTGAATAAAATAATATATTACTTGTTGTGTGTCTAGATTTTTGTGATGATATTATGATTATTTGACGTTTGCAAATGTGATTGAGAAGCAGCTGAATGAGACATCATGACTATTTGTGTGGAAAAACTCGAAAATAGAAAAAACAACAAGTTTTAGTCCTGTCAAAATAATTCAATATTGTAATTACAAAGATACTTCTTTATTCCAAATTAGAGAAATATGAGAAAATGCCGCACTAAATACTAATTACAACACATATAAGTGCAAAATGTACAAAACTTTTTAGGAGTCTGAAAAAAGTTGGATGTATTCTAAGAACGACGATTGTGAGTAGTTGTTGGTAAAAGTTGTCGTTGGATTTATAATGCACTGTTAGATGTTGCACCAAATTAAAGATACTTTGTTACCTCCTATTCAAAACATTTCATTGCATCATATTCATAAGTACATTGTTACATAATAGAGTTCGTCAACGGCGGCAAACAGGGGCAGCCGACAGAGGTCGACCATATCCAACGAGCAGTGGTCAGTTGTGGTTGGTGGCTACGGAGGCCGAAAGTCATCACCGAGTCTTCAATCTTGAATGACGCTAAACTTTAACTCATTCTCGATCCTCCTTGAGCGAAGAGATGGGGAGGGTGGAGCAAATCCACCTAGACACTAATCACATTACGGAGAAAAACTTTTATGTTCAAGAACAAAAATAAGGCTTTCCAAATGAATGTTTTATTATCATGTATTCAAGTTACTTTGTTGCATCGTATTCAAAAACAAGTTACACAAGAAAGTTCACCATAATGGCAAGTCGGGTTACACTAAAAAGTTCATCGATAATGAATGGTTCATTATCATTTATTAAATATACTTTTTTGTATAGTATTTAGGAATATATCTTTTCTCAACAGAGTTTGCCAACATTGGCAATTTGGGTTGTCAGTGGTGGAGCTGACGACCGATGATCGATAGTTGTTGGCAACTACAGAGGCCTGAAGTTATCGACATAGCTTAAGTCCATAACAACACAAGCATTCAACTCATTCGCCCTCCATCTCAAGTGAAGAGGGGATCTAGTTATATGTTTCACAAGTGAAATTATGGTTATTCGACAAATAACTATTATATTCACCTCTGATCTAATGGCCCATGTTGGTTTCTGTTAATTATAAATAAAGTTTTTTTTTATGATTTGAAAGCCTTATTAGCCTTGAAATCAAGTAATCTTACACCCGTTGGATTCCGCTTGTCAGACGCTCGATACGACTATAAGTGTCAAATTTAGAGATCATTTGACACTAATTAACTAGCCTAAAACTTATAAATTTGATTCAATGGCTTGATTAAAGCTTGATTTAGGGTCTATCTGGGGCAGTTGCAGATAAGCAACTTATCCTCATAAACTGGATAGATAAATGGTTCGCGCGTTTGGAAAATAGTTAATTCTGGATGAGTTGTTTAGTTGTTTGGTTTGTGCATTTGGAAAACAGCTGATTTGCAACTTTTTCTGGATAAATGATTATTCTGGCACGCAGCTGTTATGTTGTTTGTAACAAAACTGCAATGACTAGACATTATATATCTCAGAATTAATAAAACCCCTTCATATAACTACAAAAAATGATATACACCTCAATTAAGATTGAGTATCAAGAAATCTTTAAAAAAAAAGAAATAACATGTTAAAATTAAAAGCAAAAGAAAGACAATATTCAATTTAAAATGTAAAAGCATGTCACAAGGAACGTTGCCCGATTGGGACACCGTAGAACCCCGGGCAACATTGTCTGGTTGGGATATCATCGAACCTTGAGCGACGTTCTCTGATTGGGATACCTTCGAACCCCGAGCAATGTTGTCTTAGGACTCGTTTGGGGCAGTTTACAGGTGCGACAACGTTTTGAAAACGTCGCATTCATGTTTGTTTCTCGCGGTGGAGCCGTGTATGTGGAAATTGAGTTTTTAAATTTGCATTACACGCAGCCCGCGATCCGCGTTTGGACTCTTAGGTTTTACTCCCCTGCCCTCGAAACAGTCTTGCATCTCCTCTTTCGTTCGAAGGATTCTTTCTGAGCTCCTCTCCTGTCTCCTTGGTCGAAGTCGCTCCGCAGTTAAGGTCCATTCTCCTCCCTACGCTCCTCCCTCCGCTCCTCCCTCCCCTCCCCCAGTCCCGCCACTCCCCCTTTTAGACGTTCCTTCTATGAAAATTATCGATGAATATGAAGTTGTTTAGCAGATCTAATTTAGGGTTGATGAATATTTATTGTGGAAATGTAGATCCATTTTTTTCGATGAATATGGAGGTGATTTCACTGTTTCAAATTGTTCTTACTCTCTTTCTCCTTCGGTTATATTTCTGGATTATAGATCCAAGGGTGATCTCTTAACGTTACAGTGAGATTGTGTTCCATATGCTTGATCTATGATTTTAACTTATTTTTTAACATATTATATGTTTGATCTATGATTTCGGTGAATGTGGGGGATTTCCTTTTGTTGTTGTGGCTATGAAAAATTTAAAATATCATCAATCTTTCTCCTTCTGTGGAAAAATTTTGGATATGGAGTATTTATCACTTGCTCAGTTTACAGAATTATATGGAAGATTTTCATGTAGTTTTTTTGCAACCCTATACGCAGGCTTAAATAATGCATGATCTATTTGCTTGGTTAGAAGTTTATCATGAATATATGTTCCGAAAATTCTTCTCTTTTCCAGTTAGAAGTTTAAATTGTAGTTTATATTTTTCAAAGATTGATTATCGAGATAACTACATGAGTGATTTTCATTTCTCCATGCATTTCCTCTCTTCTAGATAATGTAAGTAATTTAATACAACATAAGATAACAATGCCAAATGAAGCCTGAATCGGATGTTTGGGATTGTTTTTTTTTGATTGCATGTGTATTATTAGCCGATATTTGGGTTGGTTTCGTTCAATTCAAGTTTAGAATTGATTATCTAGTATAAGTTTAGTATTTATTACTAATTGGAATTATGTTTTTGACCATTGTTTATTGTAAATGAGGATTATCAATCTTTAATACAAATAATACAGAAGTATGAATTGCACTTTATATGCTCAAATGACTCATTTAAAATGATTTATCTCAGAATAATTATTATGATTTCCTTCCAACAAAAATGTTATTGTACATACAATTTTTCTTTTGATCGTCATTAATTTCATGTTAGCTTGTTTATCTCACAGTCAAAATGAGTAAATCTAAAGAATTTGGATCATCAGCGATGTGGGATAAAGAGACCACCTTGATATTTTTTGATCTTTCTGTGAGGGAAGTCGAGTTGGGTAATAGGCCGACCACCTATTTCAATAAAGTGGATTGACAGATTTTAACCATTAAATTCAAGGAACTTACCGGAAGAGATTACGATCGGATGAAACTTAAAAATAATGAGATCAATTAAAAAAATTAGAAAATTTGGAAAAAAACTCAAAAGATGATCAGTCGAATTGGGTTGGGATCCACTTAAGCGGATAATAGATGCACCAGATGAATGGTGGGCTGATAAGTTAGCAGTAAATACATACCTATATTTGTTTTTTTGCGTTGATTGCATCTTTCTAAATATTTTGACTAGTTATTTATCTTTTAATATTACAGGTTGAGCCGGCTGCCAAAAAATTCAAAGTTAGCGGCATTGATCACTATTAGAGGAAAAGTTGGATAGCATAGTCATAGGTGTTGTCGCT